CCCCACCCCCACCCATCCATCCTCTGAGGGCCAGCCAGGATGTCCAGAGCAGGTCCTGGGAGCATTGAATGTCGGCAGTCACACCTATGTCAGTACAGGAGCCGGGCGGGGGAAGTCGCTGAGTCTAGGGAGAAATTGCAGATTGAAAAGGATAGCGTGGCAGTGAGTATAAATGACATGGATGAATGCACACTGAATACAGGTATAATCAGAAGAGGTGCGGGGCACAGACTCTGATGGCAGAAACAAACAGACTGTAGACAGTGAGGTCAGGAGCTGGGGGGGGTGGGCGGGGAGAGAAGGAACAGGAGGAAACCCTTGAGCTGGAAGAAGAGTTGGGTCTTTAGAGCTAAAGAACCCGCAGTTTGTTTGATCAAGAATATGTTAAAAATATTTGTTGCTAGTGACATCCCAAATTGTAAAAATAAAGAGAAACTTTTATAAGCTTCCGAATAATAGTAGTAACAACCTGCCTGTGAAAATAGGCGGTTCATGCTGGCTCCAAACGCCGGAAAGTGTTCAGGGTTCTGGGAAAGAGACCTGGGTTCATGAGATGAGGGAAAGCACTGATAGTAACTGTTGTCATTGATGGAGAAACAGAGAATTTAAATATGTTAAAATAGTAGGGGAACACTAGAGAATTACAAATGGGTGCCTGCAGCAAAGCAGACCCATTTACTAACAGCAGGACATTTGTGACATAACAGGCCACATGCAGACTCATGAGTCAGCACGGCAGCAGTGACAGGCCCTGCTCCATCTTGAGGGGATGCAAGAGGGTCGGTGCTCATGGTGGGGCCGGGTCAGCAAGGGGAATGTTCTCATCACCGCACAGCCTCAAACTCAGGAAGGCAAAACCTTTGGTAAATATAATAAATAGCACATGATACCTCAAATAGGTAAGAACTAAGTTATAGAGGACCAGAATAACCCACGAGTTTAATAGATGCATGTCAGACCCTAGGTTTTGGTGGTAGAATGTACTTCTTTTAAGGTGCCCAGGGAACATTTATATAAACTAATGCAGAGTAAATAGGAAAACAGGAGCAAAACTCTACTACCTCAAAAATTCAGACTTCTGTCTTGGCTTTGGGGTCAAAGGAAGTCAAGCTAACAGACTGTACATGTCAGAATCTGATGTACACTGAACTGCTGCCAGGGAACACAAAGGGAAAATGAAGGAAATAAACATACAGCTCAAGAAGTTAGGGAAAGAACAGCAGAATTAACGGAAGGACACCCAGAAGAATGGTATCAATGAAGACAAATGCAGAGACGGTGGTTTAAAGGAAGAGATGGCAGAACTGATGGATTCCAGCACGGCTCTTTGAAATGCCAGCGTGCAGATCACCAAGCAACCTATATCAGGGAGAAAGGGAAAAGCCTGCAAAGGAGAAAGTTCAGAAATTAGAAGGGAAGATTCTGACACCACCTACCTGGAGACAGCGTCAGCCGCATGACACTGCGCCCCTCTCCCCAGCACTTCAGACCTATGCTGGGGCAAGGGCTCACGGAGCTCAGAAGGACATGTTACTTACGAGGTCACGGAAGGGCTGCGGAAGGGCCCAGCGGCTTCCATGCCCTCCGGGCGCCACTCTCCCCAAATCCCAGCAGCTCTTTGAACCCCACCCTTTTGGGTGTGTGGAGGCTGCAGGACACAGGCCTGGTTGATTAAATCATTGGCCATTGGCGATTGAACTTAGTTTCCAGCTCCCCGCAGAGGGCAGAGGTGGGACTGAAGTTCCAACCCTCTAATCCTGGTGGGTTCCCCTGGCAACCAGCCCCCATCTTGGGGGCTTCCCAAAAGTCTCCTCATTAACATAACAAAGACAGCTTTAAGCTCTTAGGAAATTCCAAAGGATTTAGGAGTTCGGCCTGCAATGGGTTGTACACCAAATATATATATTTCTTACTATAAATCACAGCACCACAGAAAGACCAAGTAGCCAAATTAAGAAAGTCGAGGCCCAGGGGCCGGCTGAGTGGCTCAGTTGGTTAAGAGCTCGCTCAAGAGTTTGAGCTCTGAGCAACAGCGGTTCGAGTCCAGCCCGAGCTGAGCAGCCGCTGAGCTGCCAACAGGTAGCAGGATGGCTCAGCTAAAAAAAAAAAAAAAAAAAAACCATCACACAGCAAGAAAGTCGAGGCCCCTCCCTCCCCCGGTTCTTTCTGTTTCCAGCCACCTACTGTGAAAGCTCCAGTCCGCTGGTGAAGCGCCACGTGACTCGCTGTGGGGCCCGGGTGCCCACTCCACAGCCACATCGCTGCGGATGAGTGCGTTCCCTCAGCCGCAGGGCCTCTCCGTCACCCCTGGTGCTGCCCAAGGAGCCAGATCTGTTTAGTCCCTTTGACCCAGAAAGCCCCCCTCTTTTGTTCCCCCTGGTTTCTCTAGCCTTCGCATTTCTGAAGAACCCATGCCAGTTCAGTGGACCTTCCGCTCGAACCCATGCCAGTTCAGTGGACCTTCCGCTCGACCAGGTGCATCACAGCAGGAGGCTGCTGCTGGTCAGCACCGCTTCCTGGGTCACCCAGTTAGGGCAGTGTCTGCTTCACTTGTGGTATTCAGTGACCTGAGTGCACAGTGGGGACTTGGCCATACGTCCAAGGTGTCTGAGGTGGTGGCTTCTCTAAGGTGTCCCTCCCTTCCAGGTGTGTTGCTTGACACTGCCCTGGAGACAGCCCTTTTTTCTGCCCTAGCCAGCTCCGTTTTCTTTAGGACTAGTACATTCATGGGTTCTTTTTTAATGACTCTTTACGGTTATTACTCATTGTCCCACACTTGGCCATGGCCGTCTCGTCAGGCCGCCCAGACTGTCTGGTTGCTGCTGTCATTTTTTATTTTTATTTTTTAAAGATTTTATTGGGGAGCCGGCCAAGTGGCATGCTGCTTAAGAGTTGGCTTGGGACGCCAGCTCTGAGCAGCAGGGCCCACATGAGGGCCAGTGACACTGTGCCCTCTATAGCTAAGATGGTGAACAACAGCTCGACCTGGAGCTGGGCTGCCGTGAGTCGCCGAAGATGGTGTAGGCTGCAGCCCCTGCTGCAGTGGGCTGCTGTGAGCTGCCATGAGCGGCTGTCCAAGGTCCGGTGACCCATCTGCCTCAGCTGGAAATCACAATGATCACAATACCAACATGGGCCAGTGAAGCGACGTCCTCCACAATTAGACTGAAGAACAAAACGACAGCAACTTGTCTGTTCCCCTTCCCTGATTGCCCAATGCTGTTCCCCTCCCCCAATTCCCCAATAAAACCTTTAAAAAAAAAAGATTTTATTGGGGAACTGGCGGGGGGGACATTGTGTTTTCCCAGGACCCATCAGCTCCAAGTCAAGTTGTCCTTCAATCTTAGTTGTGGAAGGCGCAAGCTCAGCTCCAAGTCTAGTCGCCACCCTCAATCTAGTTGGGGGTGGGGGACACAGCCCACCATCCCATGCGGAAGTCAACCTGGCAAACTTGTTGCACACTGAGCCATTCGGCTGCCCATGGGTAGCTTGCAGCTGCTCAGCTCAAGGTGCAGTGTTCAATCTTAGTTGCAGAGGGGCGTAGCCACTATCCCATGCGGGAGTCCAACTGGCAGGCAACCTTGTTAAGAGCATGCGGTCTCACCAACTCACCAGCAGCTCAACTCAGGCTCAGCTCACCGGCCCATGAAAGAATCGAACCAGCGACCCTGTTGCTCAGAGCTCACACTCCAACCAACTGAGCCACTCGGCCAGCCCGCTGCTGTCATTTTTGTTGTTCCAGGCATCCCTTTCTGGCCTTAATGAGATGCAGGTTCTCCTTGTCCTCCACGCCTCCCACCCCCACCCCTAGCCCTGGAATTGGCCATTTCCCCAAGAGCCCCGGTCCCTTGTATTGAGGAGAGGTTGAGACCACAGGCTGGGTGCTCGGGCTGTTGGAATGTGTCTTCCTGCACAATACCCCCAGTTCACGTATTTGCTGAAGGATTACCCAGTGCATTTAGATAGAAGAAATAAATGGCTTAACCACTTAAAAGGAAAAGATTCCTTGATGCTCTCCTTGCTGCGCGTGAGGCAGAGGGTGGGGTGACTGTCCACAGGAATTCGGGACCAGGCCAGTGCTGCATCTGGTCGCTGTGTGGCCCTTGATCTGGTTTCGCTCTTTGAGGTGCACATAGCGTTTTCTTGCACTATTTTCTGCGCATGCTTCATTTCATAAGAAAAATTCTTAATTAGGTACGCATAGAAAGTGTCTGGTTCTCTGTGGGTGGCAGGATTAAACCCAGCTTTGTTTCCCAAGTTTTAATTGTGTGGTAAGCACTTGGGCTTTCTTATACCCTTTTCCTACTACAGAATAACGCTGTATCTTACTTTGGGTGAACTTCCGCCTACTTCTGTTTAGCCATGAAAGCACATCTCCCTTATTCAGGAAGGTTGTGCAGAACCAGCCTTCCCTGTGCGGGGGCCACCGCGTTTCCTGCTGATTCCAGCCCACACTGCAATGGGTTCCCTGCGGGAGCCGAGGTCACCAACAGGCCATCACTGTGGAGACCCCTGGTGCTTCTCATCCCCCTGCGCCTGGGGCTCACAGACATCAATGAGGCCTACGTGGAGACGCTGAAGGTAGGTCTGTCCTCTCGCTGACTGGCGGGGGACTGAAATCCTGCTTTGTCTTGAAGCCCCTCCGTTGTTGCCATTTTGGCCCTCTCCTCCAGCCCTGACCGCCCTGTGATTCCGGGCCTCCACCTGCGGTCTCGGCTGACCCTCCCACCCTCCCCTGTGCTCCCGAGAGCGTGCTCTCCCCAAGTCTCTGGCCTTCTGTCTCCATTTCCCCCGCCCTGTGGAGTCAGACCAGCACCCGGCCTCGCTGTGCAGGCCACCTCCCAGGCCCCTCACATCCGTCCACCTTCTCAGGCCAGCCTCCTGCATGGAGCTTTCCCCAACGTAACTGCACATCGGTGCCCCTGAGCCCATGGCTCGTGTCTCGTCGTCCTTCCCGACGATGCTCTTGAGGGCCACATCTCACTGTAGGAGGGCAGGGTTGCTTGTCCGAGCCGGCCCTGTTGAGGGGTGCGAACTCCTGCCGCAGGAGGGCAGCAGCCCAGCGTGCTCAGCGCCCGCCCTCACTCCCTCCTGCAGCGCTGTTTCATGATGCCCCAGTCCTTGGGGGTGATTGGAGGGAAGCCCAACAGCGCCCACTACTTCATCGGCTATGTTGGTGAGTGTAGTCCCCAGTGGTGCCCCAGTCCGCCGGAAGCCAAGAAGAGGGAGTGGGAGTGGTCTTTAGGGCAGCCCCGTGGGGCAGCGCTGCCCCCTCCCACCTCCCCCCCGACCCAGAGGTGGCTTGAGCCGGGGCCCCTGGCTGAAAAGCTGTGTGCCCCCACCCGGGCATGCCTGCCTCCTGTGGGCCCCCCTTCAACACCCTGCTTCTGCCCACTGTCCCCCCACCTGGCTCATCCAGCTGGCTGGATTTTGCTGTGGCGGGTCTGAGATAGACCCCGTCTGCTCCCTTCCTGCTGACCCCTGCCATCTTGCCAGGTGAGGAACTCATCTACCTGGACCCGCACACGACGCAGCCGGTGGTGGAGTGTGCGGCCGGCTGCTCGATCCCAGACGAGAGCTTCCACTGCCAGCACCCCCCCAGCAGGATGAGCATCGCAGAGCTCGACCCGTCCATTGCTGTGGTGCGTCCCACTCTGTCCCTCCGCTCCTCTGACTGCGGGAGCTTGTGGGCACCCAGTCTTGGGAGCCTTTTCTGTTGAGCTGCTCAAGACATGCTGGTCAAGGCTGAGCCTCAGCCCCACCCACCCCAGGGGCACAGTTAGGACCTGCCTCACTCCCAAATGCGCGCGGCCTCTGCGACTGGGCACAGGGCACAGGGTACAGAGTCGAGCTGTGGGCGGAGCCAGTGGGAGAAGTGAGGACAGTCAGGGGGGCGGTCACAGCAGCATCTGCGTGCGCACTGGGGTCCCTGCAGTGGCCCTGGGAATGGTCACTGCCCCTGTGTCCGAGTGCGGCCTGCTGCCTGCTCCTGCCACTGTCTGCTTACCAGTTTTTCGTTTTAGGGCTTTTTCTGTAAGACCGAGGACGACTTTAATGATTGGTGCCAGCAAGTCAGAAAGGTTGGTAGCGAGTCCCCTGCCTGCATGGACGGCTGGGGCGGTCTCGGGCCCTCGGGTGTGGCATCCCCCCCCCTCCCCGCTCTTCCCCAGCACCCCCATGCGCTGTGCAGCCTCCTGTGGCCTCGCATGGTCGCTGCTCCTGGCACTGTCATCATCGTGAGTAGAGGATGTGGGGACAGACCCTGCCCAGGAACTTGAGGATGGCTTTCTGGGTCAATAGCCTGGCATTGGCGAGGGTGGTGAGAGGAGCTTGCCCTCGAGGCTGCCCTCCACGTGGTCGTGTGCCCGTTGGGTGCCGTGTGGGGTCCCATCTCAGCGAGCCTCAGCAGAGACCGCCTGCGTTCTTGCCAGCGTCACGCCCCCCCACCCCTGCACACTGGCCGCCTTTCTCTGTGCTGGGGCTGTCTCATGTTCACAGCTGTGTCTTGCTGACAGCTGTCACTGCTCAGTGGCGCCCTGCCCATGTTCGAGCTGGTGGAGCAGCAGCCTTCCCACCTGGCCTGCCCCGACGTCCTGAACCTGTCCTTAGGTGAGTCCGAGGCCTCAGGGCCATGTCTCGGGGCGCCGGGCACTGCCTGTTTTATTGTGCAGGGTGTTGTCTGCGCGATGCGTCCCCCAGGTTGCATTCCGATTGCTCTTGACCTTTAAGGTTGGTATCAACCCCAGATATGATCCTTGGTGATTTGTGTGTGGGACATGGGGGCCGGGCCGCTGCTGAGTGTTCCCCTGCTCTCACCCCAAGCTCAGCAGCAGCAGCCTGACCCTCCATCCTTCGCCGCACACACAGGCACCAGTCCCGCGCTCACGGACCTGGGTGTGCTCCTCACGGTCCCCGGGCTTCTATAAGAGCTGCAGCGCGCTGGGCTTTCTGGGATGTCAGTGCTCTCCAGGCACTGCACATGGGAGCCAGGCCTGCTCTGCCAGGCCACGGCCGCTGGCGGGCCTCCATGTCCTACCACTCAGGGGCCAGGCCTCCTCAAAGTGAATCAAGCACGTGGCACACAGAAAACAGGAACTTGGCACTGAGGCTGTGAGCATATCAAGTTTATGCCTGTGTCGGTGTTCCCGTGAAGACCACCAGGAGGGAGGGGACCACGATAGGGTCCTGTGCCCCCCCATACTGAGAATCGCTGAGGACGACGGAGCCAGCTGTCCCATCTGTTAAGATCACTGAGGACACTGGAGCCCTCTGGCCTGTCTCTGATGATCCCGAGGAGGACCGTGATGGAGCCCACCACCTGACGGAAAGCACATAGGGGTCGGGGTGCTGGCATTGAGACTCAGGACAGGTGCCTCATCGGCCCCCAGATGGCACAGAGGTCAGCACCCCCTCCTGGGACCAGTGGCCCTTGCCCCTGTCACTTCCCTCTGGGCTCTGCCAGGAGGTATGTCTGATCCTCCTCCTCCTGCGTAGGCCCACCAGCCCGGAGGCCACCCTGAGCGAGCTCCCTTGATGGCCGGGCGCAGGCAGGACCAGCTCCGGCGAGCGGGCCCAGTGCCGATCGTGGTGGGTGCTGCCCACAGGTGCTGTCGCCATCCCCACACGGGTCTGATCGCATTTTGTCTTATTTCTTGTAGAGTCTTCTGATGTGGAGCGATTAGAAAGATTCTTTGACTCAGAGGATGAAGACTTTGAAATCTTATCCCTTTGAAATCATCCCGGAGTCAGGGGACATCTCCACTGGCCCTCGCTGGGACGCCGTCGAGAGCCCAGCCCGGCCTCGGGGCGCATGGTGCCACGCATTTCATCCATCCAGCCACCTGCCTGCCGAGTGCCGTGCCCGCCACCTCTGCCCTCGGCCAGAGGACGGCCCTGTCCTGGAGGCCTGACTGCAGGGCTGGGACCACGAGGCAGCGCACGTCGGGCTGGGGGAGCAGCGCCCTCACAACACGCCAGCCCTGCGTCAGCATCGCTCCGTCCTGCTTCCTCCTGGGCGCTGGTTCTGGGTTTGCTTTGGAATTAAAAGTCCTGTTTGAAGTCACAGACATGAATTTCTGTTGGGCGTGTCCCAAGTCCGCCTGGAAGACCTGTGGGCAGCTGCCGTGGACTGGGCCCCGCCCTCTGCCTGCAGCCCTGCCAGAATTCCTGGGGGCTGCCGCAGTGGGAGACTGGGGTGCGAAACAGCAAGGGCCAGTCACCGTACATGTGACTCGCCAGGACAGCACAGGTGAAGCCACGTGTGGCCTGCCTGCCTTTCATCCTCTCAGCCCCACGAGCTGCTGCTTGTCCCACCAGCTTCCCCTCGCTGGGCAGTGGATGGCGGGGAGCTGCCCTGGCCGTGGCCCTCAGGCCCACGGTGGGGTATGGGGCACGCACACAAGCCTGGCTGGCAGAGGCCGAGGGGGCCAGGCATGCCGGCGCCCGGAGCCTTCCTCCATCTCCTCCGTCTCCGTCCTCAGAACTGCCCTTCAGGTCACCGAGGCTTCAGATGGTTTGGGGCCAGAGGGTGAAACCTTGAGTTGATGGTGCAAGACAGGCACCCCGTCTCTTCTCGCGCATTTGGAGACATTTCCGGGCCCTTCTCAACACTGACCGACGTCAGCACCTGCCGCCTGACACCTTGGGGTCTGGGGCCCCAGGCACTGCTCCCACGCAGCCTTGCTCTCCGTCCTTCGTCTCCTGGGACGTGGGAGTCAGGCTGGGGGGACTCGGGGAGCGCAGCCTTCTTCCCAGGGAGCCTTCCTCGCGATGCCCCTCCCTCCCTGGGTGGCTGCAGATGGCCCTGGTCCTGCCAGCCCACAAGGTGGCAGAGGACACCCCAGCCCCTAGTGTTGCCGACATAAGTTATTTTCCTCATTTTCTGCCTTTCTGTCCCTCCCTCCGTCCTCCCCCTTTGTCCTCGGGCTGGGTGGGGAAGGAAGGTTGGGTCGTTTCCATTCCTTCAGCTGAACCTGGGAGAAGAGCCACCCCCGCCGGCTGGGGCCAGGCCGGGAGCGTCTCGCTGCAAGTCCTGCTGTTGGTATCAGCGGTGGAGCAGGTGACAAGTTGACCAAAGGGGAGCTTTGTCTTGGTGATTTGAAAAAGGCTTATTGAAGGAATGTTGCTCATTCTTAGTATAGTTTGCGATTCTTCATGGCAAATAATAACAATTTCAGTAGAAAACAGTGCGTTGTCTGTCTGTGTCTTCATTTTCCCCCGAGGTGTATTATATATAGTTGGATGTGATAAGAACAAGAACGAACGTTTTCTAAGCTCCTGTGTCCCACGGAACAGTCTCAGTGAGGAATTGTGGACTTGTGCACATGTGTCTCCCCACTTGTCAGGCAGCACCCACCTGGGACATGGCTCTGAGCTATGACATGCCTCCTGTGGTCCTGAAAGCAAGAAACACAAGGAAAGGATTTGGGAAAACACAGTGCCCATTCAACAAGAGAGCGGTGGGAAGGTTGCTCGCTGTCCAGTCAGCCTTAGCTTGGTGCACGGAAGTCCCTGCAGGGCCGCTGACGCTGCTCCTGTGGCAGGCACTGGGGCCTCAGCCAGTCCGCTCGCCTGCAGTGTCCAGCAGTCCTGTGGGGCAGTGCAGGGCTGAACCCAGCCCTCGCCCGTCCGCCAGCCCTCAGGTCTACGTGCCGTGGGCCCAAAGCCAGGCAGAAAGGCGGGAAGCACTCTGCTGGTCTCCAGGCGAGGTGCCCCAGGACCCCCGAGTCGTGGCCTCTGGAAAATGCCCATATTAGCATCTGGTGCTGTAACCAATCTCCACACCCGGTGGCTTTGAACAGCACACTTCCTCTCAGGAACCTGGAGACAGAGGTCAAACCCAGATGTGAGCAGCGCTGGCTCCTCCTGCAGGCTGGGGACAGCGTTGACACGCCTTCTCCATCTCCATCCCGCAGCCGTTCAGCGGCCTCCTCCCTGCCCGCATCTTCTGCCCCGGCCCCTCCCGCCGCGGTGCCATTTAGGGTCTTCCCTGACGACGGCCAAGGATGGCCTCCCATTTCCAAGTCCCCTCTGCCATGCAGGCACCCTGTTCACAGCTCCCGGGATGCGGACGTGGCTGTCTTTGGGGCCATTCTTCCCACCACAGTGTCTGACAGGCCTCTTTCTGGGGGCACCACAGCCAGTGGAGACAAGGTTCTCTGAGGCACGCAGCCCCTCAGCTGCGCCTGCCTGCAGCCCTGGCCGCCCGGAGGTCTCACAGCACATGCTTCGTGATGTAAGTTTGTGCCCTTGGTAACTGAGGTGGGACTCAGCTCTGGCCTCTGCCCTGAGCTCCCGCCCACCTCGGACCCCACAGCCAAGCCCTGACAGGGTGGTCTGTACTGCGACCTTCACCCCGTCCCCACACCAGCCCTGCCCAGCTCCAGCTGAGGGGTCCACTCAGCCCTTGTCCTGTCCTGTGCTGGGCTCTTGGGGCACAGCCCGGACCCACGGCCAACACTGGCCTCCCCGACAGCTCGACCTCTCGCTGAGCACTGGCTGGGCCCACCCCACGGTGACCCTGACACGGCCAGAGGCAGACAAGGTACTGCTTTCAGGTCTTGAGAAATCAACCCCATGTTCCCGTTTCATAGCACAGCAGAGGGCCTTGGTTATGTGACATGTGAAAATGGCAGGTGATGATAGTGTCACCAGGCCATCCATGTAGGTGACCTTGGGACTGTTTTAATGAAAATGGTCAACTTTGCAAATCCTGATCTGTCAATTGTGGGTCCTCGAGCTTTGACCTGGAGTGCCTGACCTGGTCTGGGTGGACGTGACCAGGCCCTTCAGAGGCACAGAACCTGAGGCCGACCTGCTGCCATCAGCAGGGCTGTAATGAGCTCCTCAAACCCTGCACCCCAGGACTGTCCCCTTGACCTTCTTCTGACTGAGAATGCAGACACTGGCTGTTCTCACCTGTCCCTTCCTTTGTCCCCCTCAAGGTGCTGCAAGGGACCGGGACCAAGGGTTGGACAGCCTGGGCACATCCTGGCCCCACACCCACCTAATGAGTGGCGATGGACACGATGGGCAGCCTTTCTGTGGAACCTGGACAAGAGCAGACCCCCCTGGTTTGGGAAGGCGGGGGCCTAGGTGCTGCTGCTGAGCAGGACCCTCCTGGTCACAGCCCCGGCCAGAACTGTCAGGACACTTAGAGCTCAGTGTCTAAGCAAGGGCCGCATCTTGTAGTGCCCGGAACCCAGTCTCCTGACCTCAGGAGGAAGGGCGCTGAGACTATAGCCCCTGGGGCTCCCAGGAACCCCGCCCGACTGCCATTGCAGCCTCTGTACTGCCGTAGGCCGGTGGGTGCTGCTAACCATTCCATTGCAGAGCCGTTGAAAATGGGGTGCAGTGAAGTTATGCTCCTGGCACTTCGGGTCGCAACAGGAAGAACAGCCAAGCCAGGATCGGCTGTGTTCAGAGACAGGACAATCACACCACCGGCACACGGCCGACCAGGGCCCAGCGAAGCCAGCACATCAGGCACTCGGAACCCAGGCATGGCTGGCTGGTGAGACCCACCACGGGAACCGCAGACAAGGGTAGAGGTACAGAGGCGCTGCCACGAAAGGAACGAGGCCCTGCAGCACATTTCCAGGTGAACTTTTATTAGTGCCTGTAACAGACCCCCATTTTAAACCGAGAGCTGTTTCAGTGTGGATGAAACTGCTTGGATGTGGTTATTAACTTCAGTGAGAAGCCCGTCTCCAGGGTGAGAGGGCAGAGGCAGGCTGCTGACGGGCTGACCTGCAGCTCTGCTTGTCTTGGGCGCGCAGCCCGTGTGGCCCTGCCTCACACGCGTGCGGGGAGGGGACACAGGCTCTCGTGCCTATGTCCACAGCTGCCCCAGCGGCCTGTGCATGGCGGCCCGGATGGTGTCCTCAGACAGCTCACGGATTTCCTTGTGGACGTCCTCGATGCTTCTGGAAGCATCAACCACCTGTTCCAGGGAGCAGGAGGAAGGGGTGGTTAGCGCTTTTCACTGTTCTCAGTGTGTGGGGACTTCACACGGGGCTGACTCCTGGAAGGGCACAGCGCAGGTCCCTGAGGGACCCTTCACCCACACCATTCTCTGACCCTCGGCTTCGGTGGGGAACGGTGGGCTTTGCTTGTGTCCCTGGTACAAAGCTGCTCTGACCCCTGCTGCGGCTGGGTCCGGCTCCCAAGGGCACCCTGCCCTTCTCCACATGCCCACCCAGCAGCCCCCTCAAGTCTGAACACTCCGCTGCCTGGGCATATAGTTTTGCCCAGACCCAGCCAGGCTGTTCCATCTTTGCTGACGGAATGACTGTCTCACATGAAATGCTGCACCCTCGCGGACAGCACGAGGACCTGCGTCCCAAAGGGAGCCAGCCCACAAGGAGCTGGTCTCCACCGGAAGGGAGGAGACGGCCCGAGGCCTCTGCCTCTGCCACTGCCAGTCAGCGAGAAGGCTGAGCGCTCAGCCCAGGCCAAGAACAGCGTCGGAAAAGTGCCCTTCCTCCTGAGGTTGCTGGCAGACCTATGTAAGAACGACAGGGACTTCCTAACAGCTCCCGAGACCCCACACAAGGGCCTCTTCCTGAGGGTCACCTCGCTGGCCTCAGTTTCCGCCACGAAGCTCTTGCACAGAACCGTCCCGGGCTGCGCGCGGTGGCCGGCTCTCAGCTCGCTTCCCACATGCAGTGCAGCCTGTGAGCTGCCTCTGAACTTGAGAGCAGCAACACCAAGCGGCCATGAGCACCCGGGTGCCCCGGTGCCCACTCCCCACCTTCTTGCAAAAAGGAACCAGTGCCCCCTGGCAAAGCGGCCAGCTCCGGAGCTCGGCTAGGCAAGTGCAGGATGGCCCAGAGGTCTTAATGCACCAGGAGCACAAGTGCCCAAAAGGGGGAACCTATCCTGTCAGGACACAGGAGCTGGTGTGGAGAGGTAGGCACCTGTGGGCCAGACCAGGGGCAATATGGACACCAAATAGTGAAAATGACAGGTGGCTGGTGAACAAAACAGAAAAACACGAGTCTATACAGATATAAACATATAAATACACTGCCTGTGGCCGGCCGAGTGGCGCGTTGGTTAAGAGCTGGCTTGGGATGCCAGAGAGCCCGGGTTCGGATCCCACATATGAGGGCCAGTGACACTGCCCTCTACAGCTAAGATGCTGAACAACAGCTCAACCTGGAGCTGGGCTGCCGTGAGTCTCTGGCGATGGCGTAGGCTGCAGCCCCTGTGGCAGTGGGTTGCCATGGGCTACCGTGTGTAGCCAGCAGCCAGCGTGAGCGGCCAGCAGCCACAGTGAGCGGCTGTCCAGAGGCCGGTGACTGATCTGCCTCACCCGGGAAGAGCGCAGTGATGGTGCCAACTTGGGCCAGTGAAGCAACGTCCTCCACAACTAGACTGAAGAAAAAAAGGACAGCAACTTGTCTGTTCCCTTCTCCCAATTCCAATAAAAAAATAAATACACTGCCTGTCTGACAAGCATGAGACGTTTCCGTGTTTCAGAGAACCTTCCCACGAAGTACTTACTAAACCACAGAGAGGAAAACAGTCCCTTCACTTTGGAGAAGCCTGGCAGGTACCACCTTAACCAAGCAGTCAAAGAGAACCTCAGCAGGAACGGGACAGACTGAAACTGTACACCATGTAACAGGGCGCGGTGATGACCAGCATCCCTCTGTGCCACCCTGCCAAAGACACACAACCTGAATCCAATCACGGGACAGCAAAGCCAGTCTGAGACTCCCCTACTGGTAACTGTTGTGATCTTCAAAAGTGTCAGGGTCGTGAAAGTCACGGGCTGGAGACCAGAGACGTGACTGTGACCTGGATCCTTTGTTATAATGGACACTCGTGGGACCAATAGAGGAACCAGAACGGGGCCTGGGGGCCTGACAGTGGGAATGGACCCATGTTAATGTCTCCATTGGACAGTTATGTAGGAATTGTCAAGTCCCCAGCGGTTAGATACTAATTTATTCTGAAATGGGTCTGGGAAAGTTTTTTGTACTGTATCTGCCACTTTTATTCAAGTTTCTTATTGCTTAAAAAATTTGAAAAAGAATACTAAGAAATATGAACTTTCAGATAAACGAAAGCTGAGAATTCTACACCAGGAGACCTGCCGTACAAGAAACGTTAAAGGAAGTTCTCCAGGCCAAGGGGGATGACGGAGCTGGCAGCGCAGAGGTGCGGGAAGGAGGTGACCCAGGAAGACAGGACTCTTTTCTCTGCTTTTACTCGATTCCACCCCTCATTCTGCACTTTCTTGCCTTGCTCCTTGCAGATGTTGAAATGTGTTATCAACAAGAATAAGTGAAACCGTGCAGAACCACCAGGAGAGATAGCACAGACCCCAGCATTAGCGTGGCCCGAACCAGCAGATGAAGGTCGTCTGCGCCGTGCTGACGGTCCCCTCAGGAACGAAGGGCCCTTCCTCACACCTGCAGATGTGATGTGCGCTCAGCACTGACCGATAGAGACAGGGACATGAGGTCAAGGAGAAGCTGCACCACAAAGGAGCCCCAGGAAGCCGCCTGGCGACTGTGCAGAAGGTGGGAGGGCCACCGGCACAAAGCAGACGAGGTCCAAAGCCAACACCTTACCCTTCCACGGAGCGGCAAGGATGCAGCAAATCCTGGCAGTGGGCGTTGTCAACAGGAAAAGGCAGCGTCCACGTGCCCAGGGCAGGTGCCTGTGGCACCGCCTAACCCCCAGGTCTCGGGCCGCGCTGGGACAAAGGTGAGACCAGAGACTCGGGTGTGCTCAAGAGAAGGTGGTGGGCCCAGGTGCGTGCAAGGGCCAGCTCTGGCATCTGGGAGGACAGGGGGCGCGTCCTGCAGGAAGGGTGACACGCACGCGCACAGGGAGGTGGCTGAGCGCAGCATTGGGGGGATATGTCTGTGGGGGGGGGGTGTTGGAGGCCAGAGCATCCCAGGCAGGCAGAATCAGGAGATGCCTCGTGCCTGGGCCTTAGTGTGGACACAAGCACGCCGTGACCCCAACACCGGAAGGAGACTCGGGGCTGACCCTAAAACGGACAAGGTCCATCTTCCGATGAGATTATGTAAGCAGACAACACGCTGAAGTGTTACTCTTCCGACAGAAATGGCAGGTAAAGTGAGGAGTGACTCAGGGATTTCCTATTCTGGGTGACAAGGTCGCGTAGCTAAAGCAGCAGAGGATAGGGCCCCACCACACGGGGCTGCCGCTTCCAAGGTGTTTCCTGCCGAGCTCTCTGACTCTCCCACAGGCACCCAGTGCCCACGCTGCAGGAAACCCTCAGGGGACTTGTGGGCACCAAGACCCCGAGGGACACCCAGCGGCTTGGCCAGGCTGCGGGAGCTGGCAGGGCCGGCGGCCACTTCCCAGAGGCCCCGGGTGAACTCACCCTCCAGTTCAGAGTCTTGTCGCCCATGAGCTGCCGGAAGCTCTGCAGCGCCCGCTCCTGGAACGGCCCACTCTCGTAGCGCTCACGGCCGAACTCGCCCCGCGTGGCAGCCTCTGCCAGCCGCAACTGCAGGAACACGACCAGGTCGGGCTTGGGGAGGCCCACGTCCGGCTGCTTGCACCAGTGCAGGGAGAAGTTCTGCGGTAGGGAGCTGACAGTCAGCAGAGGAAAGCGTAGCGGGTCCTGTCTCCAGCTCTCAAACTCATGGGAGGACACAAAGGAGCCAGTGCCTGGTGAGATGCCAGGCAGCACACACCCTCACAGGTGGTGGCTCTCAGGTCCCACGTGGCTTCCTCCCCCCACGCCACCTTCTTCCATTCTCAGCGAACACGTTCCAAAGCGGACAGAAAGCACCACGTCCACGGGCACTTCGCCCACAGCCTGATCCCAGGCTGGCCCTGCTGATGCAGCCCACCCGCACCCTCTGGCCAGGAGATGGCCCTGAGGCCCGCTGTCCCGTGGTCGTGTCCTCTCACCCACACACCCGCCAGGGTGTTGTCTGCCTTCCAAAGACAGGGAAGACCAACAATCCTGGAAACCCGCCAACTCTAAAAACGGCGTCCCTGTTTCTGGAGGAAAGGGTAGGGCCACACAGCTCTGAAGACTGAGGGCTCGAGCCCAGCTGTGAGTTCTGTGCCACACGCTCGAGGACCACGCCGAGCTGAGGAGGGAACCCGCGAGGACCACAGGGACCAGTCTGCGGTGTGTTCTGTCGTCTGTCTTGTCGCCCCCACCCCACCCTTCCAAGCGGAATCTGAGCAGCCAGTACTCCACTGGGGAGTGTCCTTTAAAGCAGGATGCCAGCCAGCCAGGAGGAAGAACTGGCAGAATTCAAAGGCTGCCATGTAGCAACCCCTCCCAAATAATCACACCAACAACTGTCATCACGAGAGGTGACCAGACACCCTGTGCCTCTCGATAGGAAAGCCCCATGGCCCCCGAGGTAGCCTTGCAAAAATAAAACTGTAAACCATTCTGACGCAACAGATGCAGGAACCCGTCTATCAAGACATTTAAGGGACATTTCAAGTGTGGGCCATGACTGGACCCTGATTTAGTCTAACAGTAAAAACTCAAGACAAGTCAAACAGCTGCTGAGAGAGAACTAAGGACTTTGAACACTGACTGAATGGTGACATTACAGCTGACTGCTAACTTTTTTTGAGGGGACATTAAGTTATTTGGAGGGGGGTCACAGTGCTGGATGACTTACCATTTTTCTGCTGGTACCTATTTGAAACTTTCTAAATAAAAAGAACAAAAGGGGACAGTACAGTCACTGCCATTTTACCTGCGGCAGGGAGGTCAGGAAATAAAAACAAAGCATCACAGACAATCGCCGTCTGGTCTGAACACAAGGCACAGGAGGAAAAGTTCTAACGGGTCATCTTTGAAAAAGTATGATGTAAAACGCATCTTCTAAGTAAAGGACACAATTACATCTGTGAAGACAATGTAGCTGCATAAAAATTTGTTCTTCCTACGATAAAGACCAAACTCTAGAAAAAGAACATAAAAACCGTGACTCTCTTAGTGGTACACGTGCTCTGACTGCTGCTTTGTGCTGGCAAGGACAGAGTCACACCTGCCGTCACCCCATGGGCCCAGCAGTACTCACCTCCTTGGCACTGGTGAAGGCGACCCCAGAAAACGCATATCTGTCCACAACGAGGGTGATGCCCTGGCTCAGCTTTTCCTTAATTAATGGCCTAAAACAGAAAATGATCCTGAGCCACGATCCTGGCCTCCCTGCCCCAGGACTGTCGTGCTTAAACCATCCCGACGACACAGTTGGGCAGCTCAGAAACCATGCAATGAATGGATTTGGGGCAGTGACTTGTAACATTATTCTTCAATGACTTCTTTTTAAATTGAAGTTTATTGGGGTGACATGTAATATTATTCTTATTCAAAAAGCTCTGACGTCCTCTTTATTAGATGCCACACAGGTATTCCCAGCACAGCCCAATATGAAAAAGACAAGGCAGCTATAGGAGAGCAAACATAACTGATAAAGACGCGTCTGCAGGAAGGTCTGATCAGCTGTGTGGGCAGGCGCAAGGGCTGGGGTGGCCAGCTCGAAAGGAGTGAAGGGGTGGACGCAGCCCAGAGGGATGGAGAGATGCAGAGAGGCTCCTGCCCTCGAGCCTGAAAGGACAAGGATGGATGGGATACTGAGGACAGTCTCACCCAGGGGACAGCAGCTCCACCATCCCCCAACCCTAAGGGCTTAGGACGATGTGCAAAGACAAAGGACAGGACATTAGCAAGAAGCATCACTTGTGCTTTGGGTAACAAAAGGATGTTTGATCCCTGTGACCCAGAGAGGCTCACAAAAGGGGGAGGGGGCGCACACCTGCAACAGCGAGATACCGTTCTCATCACAGCCTTACTAGTAATTGCAAACTATTAAAAAACTACCTACTCTGCAAACAGCAAATACGGTGCATGCACAACAGAGTGATGCGCCTGTGAAGAATGAATATCTGTAAGCAGATTAAACGACCTCCTGACATGTTGTCAATAAGCAAAGTACAAATGAGTATATATCGTCAGCTACCTTTTGTATAAGAAAGGTGAGTGACACACATGCACCTGCTTCTCTGTAAAAGCATCAGCAGGGGACGGTGTTACCCTTTGGGAAGGGCAGGAGCTGGACAGGAGGATGGGCCAGGGCAGTGGCCCTTTCTGTACGGTTTTGACTTTTAGAACCATTTAATGTACGTACTCAAAAACTAAATCAGGGCTGGCCGAATGGCACGTTAAGAGCTGGCTTGGGATGCCAGAGAGCCCCGGTTCAGCGACAGCGTAGGCTGCAGCTCCTGCTGCAGTGGGTTGCCATGGGCTACCATGTGTAGCCAGGAGCTGGCGTGAGCGGCCAGCAGCCGCCGTGAGCGGCTGTCAAGAGACCAGCGACTGATCTGCCTCACCCGGGAAGAGCGCAATG